AAAACAAGCAAATATTATGAATTTGTAGGAGGTTGATTAATTTCCAGGAGATCTTGCTTGCTTGCGGGGAGTAAAAGAGAAACAATGGATTTTCACAGTTCAGCACAGCACATACAAAGTGGCGTCTGCCGGTTTAGCCAACTGAGCTATGCTGGTGTCTTATATCAAAGCAATAATGTTGTATTATCAGATAGAAGAAAGCTGTGGTACAAATTTCTGTATTATTATTATCATCATTCTTATTATTATACTATTAATATTTTGCTATTTAAGATTTGAGCCATCAAAACTGGACATGAATGTTTACTTAGCACTGGTGAATGTGACTGTACCTCACACATATCCTAATGTCATTGCTTTCAAAAAACTTGTAGAAAGTTATTCCGAGTCTGTCAGAAAAAGGTATGTAATCAATATTACCAATGCTATGTAATCAATATTACCAATGCTATGTAATCAATATTACCAATGCTATGTAATCAATATTACCAATGCTATGTAATCAATATTACCAATGCTACAGTATGTAATCAATATTACCAATGCTATGTAATTGGGTTCTGGTGTCCATCTTTAGCCCTGCTCAGTGTTATACTGTAAACATATTTTAAACAAATGTTGATATTTTACAACTTAAAACAAAATTATTTTAATAGTGTTTTTACTTTATTTGTTTTAAAGTTGGAAAACACCGATCAGATTAAGGCGACATTGGCCATGGGGCCAAGAACATGAATCCAGTCCTCTGATTGGTGGAAGATCTGATGTGAAAGCTTACAATATCTCGCAATCTCTTTCGCCAACTTTTGAAAGGAGTAGAGTATTTTCATCTGGTAGCAATGCTCGAGACATTAAAGAAAAGTTGTTTATTGACGCTACATGAGTTCATCTGAATCTATCGTATAACGGTTATGATGCTTACCTGCCCATTCCAATTGAATTTAACAGTGGCGGATCCATTCCTTTACCTTTTGTGGGGTCCAGTGACTGTTCTCCCTAGAGACTTAACAGTTTTAGCCGTTTTAATATCTCATCTTAAAATTCAAACCCTCTCATCTCAAAATAAACCCTTTTACCACTGCCTGAATCTGCAAGGCAATGGTGGTCATAAATAAGGGTTAGAGGGACAAATATAGTTTTTGATTAAATACTGATGGACACACTAATATTTTTTGTTTCCAGTGTTTCCAAAAACCTTCATGCACTGCTTTTATTCCACATTATGCTCAGTTTTAATATTACTTTTTACAGATTATTGGTGCCTGTATTGTGTTTTGATATTTGTTATATAAAACCAACTTTTTTTTTAATGACAAAATAATTTGACCCTTGGATGTTGTGTTGTAACCCATTGGATGTGGACACAATAAATCTGATGTTTGTTGGCCTATGTATTTAGAGCACTTTGAAATACCTTACAACATAATGTTGAAAATGGCTAGGTATTGATTACTGGTTTGTGTCACCTGATATTTGTTGGACTATGTATTTAGAGCACTTTGAAATACGATACAACATAATGTTGAAAATGGCTAGGTATTGATTACTGGTTTGTGTCACCATTATGATTTTGTTACATAATCATGATGTAATTCAGTTAATAAAACAACAACCATCACCGTTTGAAATATTTACATTTGATGATGATGATTTTATTATAACTTTTTTTAAAATAAATATATAAATCGTGTTGAGGAAGGAAATCTTGATATGAGTGTCCGGAACTTTACTCAGTCAGCCCCAACTATGGTGGGGCTGAGCTTAATGTCGACTCACCAACCATACTCAGACCGAGGTGGATGTGGACTCGGCCTCTAGCCAGCAAAACCTAACTTGAAAGCTAAAAATGTCTAACACCACACATTACACCACCCCCCCCCCCCCCCCCACTCCACTCATTGCTTTGCATTTCGCCCTTGCCTGCTATGTCCTTAAGATTGGTACTGGCCAAAAATTCTTTCAACAAATCAACTGTCAGCTCTGGATTACTGCACAAATCCAGTTTTAAATGCTTTGGACCTGTTGCTTATAATGGCTAAGATTTAACACTCTCTACTACTGCTAGTATTCACCTACCACGCCCATACACAATTCAGCACCTTACCATTTATCTATAAATAATGATTTTTAGTAAGAAAGGGTGTTTCTAACAAACTAAAGTTTGCTAGAATAATTTTATAGGTGTAACTTTATTGGAAGTGCCTTGAATTTCTGATCCAAGCAGCAAAGCTGGTTGTTTCATTTTTAATTATTAAAGAATCGTGCAGCTCGTTTTTGATTAAAGAGGTTGATATGTTTTCAACAGTAGACGCCAAGATAAAGTAGGATAAATTATTGTGTAATGCGAACCTATTTGATCGGACACAGTTTGTATCTTATTTACAAATACTAACAGGATATTGAATATTGGTAAAGTGTACTTGCTGAATGTATTGTAATTAAAGTATTGCCCACACAATTTATATTTAACTTTAGTAAGATAAAGGAGGAAATGCTTATGTTAGTTACTGGTATGTGTTGACGGCATCGGGTTACATTATTTAATGACGATATTATTACAGTATTTTAAGTTAATAAAATGGTCATCACCATGCAGAAACACAGTCAATAAAACCACAACAATAATGTACGTACATGCAAACGAACTAAGCAAAGATGACGAAACACTGTAAGCAGGAGTCGTCAGTCTTTAAGGAAGTCGGGAAGGAGGAAACGGTTGGCAAAGTCGTGCTTGAGATACAAGTATTAGAAAAACTAAGCACTTATTGTTTGCAACAGTATGCTATTCTACTCATTCATAATGGTACCAGTCGCATTCATGATGAACGTACATGCCGGTATGCATAATTTTTAAAATTTTAATTTTCCATGATTATTACAACTACACAGACATTGGCTAGGACTGGAACATGCGTTCACCAAAACATGTCTGTGTGTAAATATATATATATATATATATATATATATATATATATATATATATATATATATATATATATATATATATATAT